ATCGCTGTTTATTCCTTGAAACAGGTAAATAAATAAAAAATTACTCCAGTTTTCTCCACATAGGTTTACGGCATCTTCACTCTTCAATGCGGTCCAATTATATGGGTGTAAACCGTGAAATACAAAATAAAGAAGCCATTCCTCGGGTAGATGCTGTGGGATTCTCTTGAGAATCAAATAGCTATCCTAGCAAAATGCACTCGTGGGACATTCTCTTCGCAATAAATCGGCAGAAAAATATGGGACTCTGTCGATAAATAATTTTCTTTGGCATCAACAGTTACTCGTTTTTCTCACGCTGCGGGGAAGAACACGGTTTTTTGTTGCAAGCACGCAACGGTATGTCGTGCCACATCTTAGCCCGAGATGAGCGCAGCAGCATCACCGAAGATACTGCCTTTTCTAGTACGATCCGAATTATTTTTTTAAATTTACTAATTGTTTAAGAAAAGCAGCTTCACTTCTTCCAATATTTCGAAATATTTTTTGGATATACCTTCATCATGCATATACAGTATAAAGCGTGAAATTTCATTCCCCAGCACTACTGAGGGCGGTCAAGCCTTACATTGAAGATCATTTTCCATGAATGGGTTAGCAAATAATCGTATACAGTATTTGTCTCAGGATAAAATTAATTTCTCTGGTTGTTTCAGTTGAGTGTCGGAAAACACAATGCGAAATAAAATTTCAATAAAATTCGAAGACCAAAATTTCCTGCAAAAGACAAGTACGAAAGGAATAGTGAGGAAGAATCTTTGTATACAGCTGTATGTAAAGGTTTTGAGACTTGAAAAATACCTTTTTCCAATATCAGATGAAGTTGGAGAAGAAAAAAATAACTTCATTTCCGGTTCAAGAATTGTGGGGCCTGCATTAATAATACCTATCCCCATTTAGGAAGTTAATACAAGAATAAGTTCTAAATAATCGCTCTCTAGAAAGTTTAACTCATCTTTTTAAACGTTGTGGAAGAAAATTCAGTAATAATTTTCGTGAGGATTTTCTGTTCAGAGTTGATTCTGACAACATATGTGACAGGGTGTAAGCTTTTCAAAATTACTCCGATTGTTCTACAGCAATGCAATGTACAGTATTCTTATACCTTCTCAATGTAATACGTTCGAGAAAAGATCGTGTAAAAGCTCATTCAAGTTTCTTATACGTGGTTTCTAATTCCAATGTTGGATTCGAATAATCAAGTGAGAAATTGAATCTAAAAATGCTCTCAGGAGTTTCACGTTCAAGACAATTTTTAATCAAAGCTCACTAAATCTGTTTCGAAAGAATTTCGATAGTTTTGTTTATTGTAATGAGCAGCACGGACAATTGAGAAGAGAAATATTTCGCGAGTTCTATACTGGAGGGCCAGTTTTCAAGAAAAAAATAAAGCTTACCTTTTAAAATCGAAAATCAGGAACACAATTAATTGAAAAAGAAAATAATTGAAAAGGGAATTTTTCCTTCATGTCCCATGGATTGTTAGAATAGATGAGCTTTTCTCAGCGGAGGACGAGAATCATCGACCTTTTCCCGCGGTGAGTACCGTTCGGTCATTCGTTACGCATCATTTCCCCGCTTTCAGGAGCGACACTTGGACAAGTAAATCGAGGACAAATTGTCCCACGGAACCCTCTTCTTTTTTCTACCCTGTTCGAAATAGCAAACCAAGCCTGACAATGACGCAGAAACCCTGTACAGCAACTTGGTCAATGGTCATTGTGACAGTAAAATGATTTATCTGTGAGTCTGACTATAGTTGATCCTACTCATCCGACGTCATCAGTGCCGTTCCATTTTGAGTGAGTCAAACACCTATATTCCATCAAAGATGGATGACATTTTTCGATAACTAATGTCATGAAATGAGTTTCACTATATAGTGAAAACAGAGATCTACTTGGAATACGGAGCTTGGCCTCGTTACTCGTGAATATTTCATCTTCTTCGTTAAGAATCTGTTGGTCTTATTATAGTTTCAACTGAATAGAATCCATGTTTTGTTTTTGTTCCGAGTCGACTGCAGATTTTCTGGGAAAAGCAGTTATTGGGTCAGTATTGCACAGGGCATTCAAAGGAATATTGCAAATGCACTTGGTAGTTTCGTCTGATAAATATTTTCTAACTGTTCTTGATGTAAAATGTACAACAAAAGATTATTGGGTCGAAAAGCACCATATAACTTCTGTCATTACGCGCCATAATTGAATTTCTTTACCCACAAAGACAGGGACTGTCATTTCAATGGAATAAAAGTAAAATACTGTACAGTATTGGGTTTCAACTAATTTGGGCTCTGAAAAGGGCTGCGAAAACGCTTTTTATCTATTTCGCATTTGACATTGAATACAGCATATAGTAATGCACTACAGTACCAGGAAATATTTTATATTCATACCGCATTTAATTCTCGTCCTGAACGTGTACTTTATTTTCAATTGTAGTGCATTTGTGAGCGACATGAACTTAAACTGGAGAAAATTATTTCTTCTCCCGGTTGAACGAAAAATCGGGAGAGGCACCTTTTCAAAAAATACGCACGACAATGGCACATATCACAGCAAGTGTGCAAGATTTGTTTGTTTCAATGATTTATTTTCACATGAGTGACTTATAAAGGAGTACATTAGTATACAAAAAAGGCATCGGCGAAGAAACACAAATGTTCGGCTGAGAAGTAAGCTCCGTTTTTCTTATCGAAAACAGCTGGCGACATCTACAAGAAAGAAAAGAACCTCAAGGCCCTCAGAGTTTCAACGCACTCAGCTTCAGCTGACTCGTGAACATCAGGTGCTGGACTCTCCCAAGTCCCAACGATATTAAAAGTACTGTATAACAGAAAAAATCGTCTTAGTAAAATTCTTAATGCGGAGAGAATCACAGTAAATAAGATTGTTGTTGATATAGTTAATCCCTAGCATGAGACATCTAAAATGTTAAAATACCCACACGAAGCTGATCGAATAGTTAATGTATTGGATCAAAGATGTCACTAATGCTACACACGATGATTCCTCTCTGAAAGAAACTCGAGTTCACGCAAATAAATTAAAACTACGGTACTTTACTTGTCAATTACGGCGTCTCATCGACAAAATCTTCATCGCAGCTCCTTCCTTCATTTGATGCTGCATCGGATTGTACCTCACCAGAGGAAACCTCTTGGCCAACAATCGGAACTCCTAGAAATCCCCCGAAACCCCCGTACAAACAGACAAACTGGGTTCCTCGCCAACTATCGACCCTCGTCTGCCGAATATCCTTCAACAATTGCATTCCAATCATAATCGCTGGCCAAAAAAGCCAAGCTAAAATCCTGAAAGCCAGACATCCGGGTTGTTTTACGTGCTCCTCATTTTCGTTCTCATCAACGGAATACGATTCTTTTCGATTATTCAAGCATCCTCCATAGTCTGGTTCTAATGCGGCCATCACATGCATCGAATCCTGAGAAGCTCGGTTTTTCAAATCGTCTTCTGGTTCAACTCCACTCTGTTTCCATATCATGTCAGACAAAAACGTCAAGCTTGCAACTGACTCCGCAGAACCTGCTGATGGGATTTTATGATGATCAACTGCGTAGTCGGCGACATCTGTTGTTGGTGAAAAGCATGCGATCCGTTGACAAGATACCCAGCGACGATTGATGCTGCCCCTTGATTGTCGGCGACTTATTCGAGTTTCTTGAAGGAATCCTTGTGACGAGTTTGCGCCCTTTAATAAGGGTTCCTCGAGATGATCAGAAACTGTTGTAACGGAGGAAGCAGAGGACTGAGGTGAAATCAGAGGTTCAAAGCTGAAATATTTTCCGTTGGCAACCGATGAGTGCTTTGATCCGGAAAGTCCACCCGCTTCTGAAACCTTTCTGAAACCCGGATGAATCTTCTTCAGTATGAAAAATATCAATGCATAGTTATCCGTTCACGTTTTCACGTGATGAAGATTTAGATATATAGCAGTGTATTAAGATTATGCAATGGAATTCGGCGTTACTTTTGCATAACACATGGTTGGCCAGGTTTACAGTGCATTGTAACGAACATATACAAAATCCATGTATCTCGAATTTTTAAAGTTAACGCAGCGATTCTGAGCATAGTTTCAGGCATGGCAAATTTGTTTGCGCTTCAAGCTGTAATTTTCAGATTTTTGTCCTGTTTTCTGAAATTCATTATGGGTCACAGGACACTTTAAGCGGACCAATTTAGAGGGAATCTTACAAAAATCTCCAATCTTACAATTTGTTTCCTGCAAATTATAATGTACTGTAATTAAAATTGAGACCTCTGAAAAAATTGATAGTAAGAAGAAAAATGTCAATTTTTTTTAATGTTACGTGGAATTTTATACCCAACTATTACGCACACCTAAACCATTTATTTGAAAAAAGGCGCTTCATATTTACGTATGTACGTTCAAAAAATTTCAAGTGCCACTTTTCTAAATTCTAGAATTCCAGTAAATACGGTAACTCAACGTTTGAGGTGACGATTTATACTTTAATGCTTGAAAAAACTTTGAAACTCTTTAACCGAGGCTTATCGAATATGATAAAAGGACAAAAATCTGCGTCATACATTTGGATAGCAGGGTTCCAGAATAAAGAAGAAAACAACCCTCATCAGTGGAAAATATTCTTTGAAGATGCTTATTTTCAAGTACTGCATAAAATGACTCGAATAGCACCGTAAGTACCATGTCGCCAAAAACTTAAATAAAAGACATTTTTTGGGCTAAAGTTTGAGCTTGTAAAAAATATGTTGGACGTAAGGATAATCGCGATATACTTGGTTATTATTGCCAGCAGCATAACCAATATCATGCTGGCATTATGGAATACTTTTTTATACAGAGACTAAACAGCAGGGACACATGCATTATTAACGAACTTTCACAAGCAAACGCTAAAAATGCAATACCATAAAAAATGTTTCCCCATTCATGCAACAGCAACCACGCGTGAATATCATGAAATTTCGTCAAGTATTTTGTGAAGATTGAAAATAAGCCAAACCTCATCAACGGATGCGATCGATGTTCAGCCAAACTCATCAAAGAATTCTCGACTCGGATTGCGGCTTTCGAGCTCAAATAAACATCGTGACACTCTTCACAGGAACATTGCTTGCGACATTCACGCGCCCCTCGAAATTTGTCTGTGGATGATCGCCGTCTAAAAAATTCAAGTGAGGTCTTTCTGGAATTCCCTTTCAATTTTTCCATCGTCACTGGCTTATGCAAATGATCCCGATCGTTCCAGGAATCCATCTGAAATAGTGACTTTTATCCTCGAATTCATAGAACAGAACAGACCGAATGCACAGGACGAAAACTTTGTGAAGGGTATACGTTTAGGTGTCGAGGTAAAGTAAGTTATGTAAGACACAGTAGGTGTAGGAAAAGAGAACAAATTTT